TTTTTCAATCGTTATGAGTCTACTGATTGAATAAAATTTTATTATAATTGTCTTGTAAATAGAATTTTTAAAGCATTCTGAATGTTAAAAATAAAGAAAAAGTGTGTAAGAGAATAAGAAACACTACCTGCCAAAAAAAAAAAAATGGTGAAGTTTTGTTTTATCGGCTGAAAAATATAGGAAATCCGATTCTATATTTAAAGTAACCCGTCAATTTAAAGTCAATTTTATTTTTCAGTCTTTATGATGGTGGATACTTGATCTATCTCTTACTGTTATATCCCTGGCAACATATGGCTCTACTAGTATATATATATATATATATATATATATATATATATATATAGTGCTATTCGATAAAAGTGACTCGCCTTATCCTTTGAATTTAGCTCAACTTTCGTTTCATCGGAGAAGAGAACATTCTTCCAATATTCTACGGTGAATTTTTTGTAATAGTGACCCCATTCAAGTCTCTTGGCTTTGTTGGCTTTGCTTATTAGCGGCTCAAACGTTCGTGTACAAGATTTGTAGCCTTGTTCTAACAAGATTTGTAACCTTGTTCTGACGGATTGTTGAAGAGGCAAGACTAACTTCATTGCTCTTCGCTTTGGCTGCAATTTCTTGGCTAGTTATAGTCTTATTCTTCGTAACTTCTCTCTTGATTACCCTACCAGTTCTATCATCAATCTTTTTCTGTCGTCCCCTTGTTTCCTTCCTTGGAGCAGGAGTGGTATCATTATGTGCCCTCAGCACTCAAGGGGTTATAGCAATTTCTGTAATTTCTCTCGTAGACTTGCCTGCTTTTGAAAGGGTAATAATAGATGTCTTAAGTGGTTCTGATGCGTGTTTGTACACTTTCATCTGGTTAGTGACTTGAGTGGCTATTTCAAGCTGTTTTTATACTGTATGAGGCTTTCTGGAATATTCTGGAATACTCTAGATTTAATTTAAGCCGTCTTAGAATACTCTAGAATATTTTTCTGGGTGTATTATAAAATGGTTTTCAATATTTTGTCAAATGTTCTTTAAATTTGTCAGTTTTATCATTAGAATGCGATATCTGAGTCACTTTTTTTTGCAAAGAGTTTTTTCCTGAATCTCATTTATATCCAAATTTATAATTATCAATAGAATACCTTAGGATGAATAAACTTTTTTTCCTTGGTGGTCGGGAAGGGGTCTTTATATTAGTAAGATTAAAAATTATTTTAACTCCCCAAAAAATAGACAAAAAATATTTTTAGTAAAAAAAAATCAGGTGAGTCAACTTTATCGAACAGCACTGTGTATATATATATATATATATATATATATATATATATATATATATATATATATATATATGAGGGAGTGATTTACAGAGTAAGAGGCTTAGAGTTTATGAGAATATGTGGTTATGTTGATACTAGATATTAACATGTTAAGATTTTAGGGATTGAGGAAATATCCTCTTGAGAGTTTGTTCCCCAAAGCAGTAGTTGGTCGGAAGAAACATCTTTAGTATAATCATCATCATCCCCTTGACTTTTGCTATCGTAGGGGAGACCCAAATACAGAAATGATATTGAATCTCCTCCACAACGATATGTCAACAGCAACCATCAGTAATTCTGGTATAGTCATACTTGTCCATTGTTTGACATTGTCTAACCAATTTTGGCGTTGGAGTCCTCTCTTACGTCCACCTATAACGGTGGCTTGCATGAGAGTGTAGCACAGGCTGTCGTACTTTACGTCTCAATAAGTGAATACGAAGGGAATTCGGATGTTTTTTTACAATCTGCATGGCATGTTGCATCTTTGCCATGAAGGTGGAACTAAAAAAATGTAGTTCGCCTAAGCACTTTCCATCGAAATTGCGTTAGAGTTAGTACCGCCTTACAACGTTTTGTCTTTGACGGAGTGACTGCAGAGTAAGAACATTTCATCACCCACAAGGACGCTTTTGGATACTATCGAGACTGGAAAGTGAAGACTGGGAAAATCCTGTTCATATATTTGACAGCAGTGCTTCATTTTCGGCCTAATCTTGCACTTGTGAATGTAGGGGATTACAGGTTTCAATTAATTACTGTATCGATACAGGCAACGAAAAGTCTTTCCAGCTTTTTTTTTTACCTGTGAGTTGTACTTACGAGTTCAATTTGAGATATGTGCTGAGCTTAAATTCTACTAAGCTCTCAAGGCACGGGGGCCTCCTGAGAAAAACTCTTTTTCATCGTGATCAATGAAATTTCTGAGATTACAGGTGTCAATTAATTACTGTATCGATACAGGCAACGAAAAGTCTTTCCAGCTTTTTTTTGTTTTTTTTACTTATGAGTTGTACTTACGAGTTCAATTTGGGATATGTGTTGAGCTTAAATTCTACTAAGCTCTCAAGGCACGGGGCCTCCCTGAGAAAACTCTTTTTCATCGTGATCAATGAAATTTCTGAGATTACAGGTGTCAATTAATTACTGTATCGATACAGGCAACGAAAAGTCTTTCCAGCTTTTTT